TCCTCTGTGTTGTTTGTGTAGTGACCATCGAGTACTGGATAGTTGAAGTGGTTTGGAGCAATGTTCAAAGACAATGGCATACACCTTCATAATTACCTCATAGAGCATATGTAGGATTTATTAGAATGAATAAAGATAGCCATAATACGGTGGTGGCCCATTGTTTAGGACCAAACATGATTGTGGCAAAAACTATTGATTAAATACAAAAAAAAAAAAAAACTGGAAATAAATAATCAATTATGCAAAAATCAATTGTTTGTATTTGTATAAGACATTTGTAGAACATGAAGTAATTTGCATAATTTGTTGTGGAAAAATTATGAGTTGTTTAGCAATACATCTGGTCATTAGTTTAGGACCAGTCACAATAAATCCTACAAACAAAGTAAGTAAATTCTAGAAACTTATTAAAACATATCAAAACTTAAAATGTAATTGAAGTAATATATATTTTCTGCTTTAAGATGGGCAGGGGAAAGAATTTGAGTCTTTAACTTTGTCAAAAAATTGTAAGTCTTCATAGTAAAAATATCAGCTATGCCAAAATTGCAATAACATTGGGGTGTAGCCAGTGGCATAGCGTGGGTGTCAGCCACCTGAGGCAGAGGAAAATTTTGCCACCCTCTTATTTAGATATCTGAATTTAAAAGACTAAAATTCAGTTTTATCACAGAATAAGTAATGAAAAATTCTGCTCATTTCAATCAGTCTGAATCATAGGTGCGACAAAAACATGAAATGAAATGGTTCAAATTTTTACAAGATATTATTATTATTTATTGTGAAATTTTGCCGCCCACACTACGCTACGCCACTGGGTGCAGCAAAACGTCATATATTTGTGAAGTGAATCTATGGGAAGAAACTGATTGTCTTTTGGATAGGCCTAAACCTGGAAGACTGAGAAAAGCCACCAAATGCACAGATTGTAGAATTCACAGAAAAAAAAATCGCTCACTAACATCAACTGACCTCAAATTTAAAATGATAAAACATGGGATGCCTGAACTTAGTACCTGTACTATTAGGTGTCGATTAAATGGGTGAGTTGCAAGGAAGAAGCCACTCGTATCACTGAAAAATAGACAAGCTCATCTGAAGTTTGCTCGTGAACACTTGACTTGGACAAGTCAAAACTGGCGGAGTGTGCTGTGGTTGGGTGAAATGAAGATAAATCTGTTTGAGAGTGATTGTCGCAAATACATAAGACGACAAAAAGCTGAGGAATTTCGTCCTAATTGTATTCAACCCGCCGTAAAGTTTGGAGGTGGAAATGCATGGTATGGGGATGTTTTTGTTCATATGGAATTGGACCCATTCACCTCATAAATGGGATAATGGACTGATTTCAATATAAACAAATTTTATTTGTGATAAAAAAATTTTGGTTATCCAACAAAATAGTTTTTTTTCCTAAATTTTGTTATTGGTCTTAAACATTTGTCCAGGGACAAATTGAACTTGCTGCACATCATCCATTGCTTGACTAAAAGTAATGTTTTGTTTATGAAATAAAGGTTATAATTTTATCACATGAAAGCAAAGTTAATATTTTTCCTGAATTTTAATTTCATTTTTTTGGTCTTAGATTCCACACAACTTGGTTTTGAAAATAATTGTTAATGATCCTAAACAATTGGCCACCAATGTATTATATCTAAAAATATACTAAAGAATACCTTGCAAGAAAAATGGTATAAAATAGGAGAAGCTACTTCAAAACTAGTTTTATCAGTGAGAAACTAGTTTTGGTTAGAAGTTATCAGACAAAAAGGATTTGCTATAGAATACTAGCATAAATTTGATTAAGTTTTATTTTAAACAGTTTGTATTTGTATACAGAATTTTTCTGTTAAATTTTTGCATCTTGTTAATATTCTTGTTCATTATCTTATGTATTGTGTTAATTTCCTATTACATATGTGGTACAGATGATTACGATAAATATATACACTGTTCTGAAATACACTGTTTTTGCATATTACAGAACATTTGATGACTTTAATAATTGCTGTATGCAGACTTTCTTGAGTCACTGTATTTAGTTTAATTAATAGTTTGTTTATGTCTTTAGAAAAATGTGTGTTTTTTTGAACTCACCAAAATATTGAAGATATGTCTTGATGCTTTCTCTGTAAAAAGTGAAGATCATATGTTTTGGAAATGGTGACTGATAGTATAAACATATAACACCTTCAGTAGATACTTCTCCTCATTGCTTTTTTTAAAACTAATCATAAAGAGCAGACTATTAAAAGTGAAATGAAGCGAGTTGTGATGAATATACATTTACTTATTAGGGAGACTAATCTGATTTTAAGCTTATGAGAAACTGTTGAAGAAATTGCAACATTAATTGGTGTGTTGTATTTTGCCATCTTTGTGGGGAAAAAACAAATGAAAATCTTCTTATAGGCAAGAAATGGCCTCTGAAATCTGGAGCAAAGAGGTGTAATGACAAGTGTGACAGTTTCAGTTGCACTGCAGTACAAGATATTGTACATAAGTATTTTTTCAGAAATAAGCTACCAACATTGACCAAAATACTGAGTAATGTAAATAGTGACATTGATTTGCCAATCATTTCTGAAACAACATCACATAAAGTGTTGAAAGTAATTGGCATTGTTTATGATCATTACAAAAAAGATTCTGCATTGACCAATAAGCATGAAAATATAGCTTGGAAGTACAAATGTCTCAGACAAATTTGACAGTATTGTTCAGAAGGAGGAAAGATATTTTTCCTCCTTCTGAACAATGGATAAATGCTGTTCACACAGTGTTGAGATATGTTGGCAAGATAAAACTGTTGTCTGGTAAGGATGCATTTCGAGGGGCTTGTCATCTGGATTTAAAGTCATGTGGATTTGTACTCACTGTGGAGACAAGGAAGGTTTTGTAGATGGTGCTTCCCTGCTGTTTTAGTTGAAAGATACAGGCAATTACCATCAGTATATTAATGATGTCTATTTTAAAAAATGGTGTTTTGAGTTGCTGCCAAAACTCCCACCATCAATTGTGATCATAATAAACAATGCATTGTATCAGAGTTTAAGATTTTAAAAAATCATGCATGAAAGAAAGATGATGTCAGAAAATGGCTCACAGAGAAGGGCATATGTTGGCAGCCAGAACAACTGAAGTTTTTAGTACAAAGAGAGAAGTGCACATTTTCTATCAAGTAGGTATCATAGCTGCTGTTGCAGGTCTTGAAGTACTTTGATTTCTACCATATCATGCTAAACTAAACTCCATTGAGTTGGTCTGAAATCATATAAAAGGATATGTATTTCAGAATAATACTACATTTAAACTATCCAACATGAAAAAGTTATTTCAAGGGAGTGTAAGTGAACTTACTCTAGAAATGTGGAAATCTTTTGTTATGTATGTTATGTGCAGTGGTGATATTCAGCGGGTTCGCACAGGTTCGGCCAAACCCGTTGTTAACATTTTCAAAGTTTTCCTTGTTAAACACATGTAACATTTCTCAATGGTTTTCTTTAAAAAATATATTAAAATACTGTATACGTATTATACTCTGTAACACTACTAAACTAGAGCCTTCCGATTTGAGCGAAAAAAAATTGTTAAAGAAAAATTTTCTGTTAGCGAACCCTTTGTTAAATATTTCGAATATCATCACTGGTTATGTGTGTATGTCATGTCAAAAAGGAGATGCAATTTTGCAAACTGAAAGTTCTTTGAGAAAGTAGTGATTTATGTTCTCTAATAATTTATTTGGAGTCAGATTCTTACTGTGAAGTGAATGATTTACACACTGTCAGAAAATGAGACCTTTAAAAACTTTTTCAAGACCATCAAGTTCTGGTTAAGAGATGCTTTAAGTCATACATTTAAAACAGCAAAAACTTCTCACTAATTAAACTAATAAATAACAAAACACTAAGGCAAAAGATAACAGCTTTGAATAATCAGTTTTGTTAGACTAGTCTGCTAAACAAAAATAAAAATAGTTCAGCATGAATCAGCTGATTTTGTGGCAAAGGAGTATGCATGCGAGTAAACTGGCTGTTTTCTTTATCCTCAGAGAGAATAGTTGAGAAAAAAATCTTATTTAAAATTCCTAGATATACACAGTAATTATTTCACTTCAACATACACTCAGACTCATTGAATATTATACAACATTGTTACCTTACTGCTGAGTATCATTTTTACTACTTTAACTAACATTTTCAACCTGATCAACAAGCCATCATCAGGTTATTAGCTTACTGGAACATTTACAATTGTTCTATAGTCGAACCAATATGCAATAACAAATTTGAATTTAAAATGGTTTGAACATTTGGTTAAAAATCAAAATATAAAATATAAGTAATATAACTAATCCATTAAATACATAAACTGAACAAATCAAAATAAATAGAGTAGAACAAAATAAAATAAAATACAAATATAATAACAAGATATAAAATTACATCAACCACACGCATCAGATTTTACTAGCCATTATTGATCATATATTTCCATGCTGATAGTAAGCCTGTGGCATCCTTATAGTTTAAACATTTGCCAGTCAGGCTGGATTTATAAATTTCAAACTTTTCCAAACTTAATGCCAGAGTCGGTGAACGCACCAGTGTAACAATTCTGGCCTCAGTCCATTCAACTACCGAACCATCTGTTTGTGCCACTCTGGATAGTGCTGTAGAATAGTCTCCCTTACTTATGTTGTACATGTGCTCCTTAAGCCTTTTGTTGAGGTTTCTGGTGGTGACATCCACATACTCTTTGTTCAAACCTAATTGATCATTTTTATATGGTATCTTGTATATTCCAGATTGTTGTTTCTTCTTGATCATATCCTTGTCATTCCTAAGCAAGTTATAAACCATGGGAGCCCTTTTGTATAGTAATCTTGTGTTCTTGTAATCTGCAATTTCTTTGATAATATTTGACATGTTTCTGTTGTATGTGAACTTAGTCATCTTATTGTTCATATCTTTCTTTGTTTTCTTTTTTGCTAGGATCAGTGTAAGAACTTATTAATCCTTCAACGACTTTTGCTCCAAACCCCAACATCCTAGCCACAGCTCTAATGCTATCTAACTCTTGCAGCCTGTCGCATACGTTGGAACAATAAAGGAATTCCCTTCTAACTAGAGCTCTAAATGCTGAAAGCTTATAGGTATGTGGATCATTGGAGGTTGAAGGAATGTATAACTGGTCGTGAATGGGCTTGATGTATACCTTCGTGTTTAAGGAACTGTTCTTGAATGAAATGCCAATGTCTATAAAATGCACTTCCGTAGTACTAATTTGCTTCAATTTAAGTTTTAAACCATCTTTGTTGGAATTTATTTCATTCAAAAATTGCTGTATTCTTGTATCATTCCTCCAAAAAGTGAACACATCATCCACATATCTTTTGTATAAGATAGATATATAATTTTAGGGGGGACATAATCTTACACAAAAGATATGTGGATGATGTGTTCGTTTTATGGAGGAATGACACAAGAATACACCTTACTGAAAAATGGCTGTTTGCAGCCCTGCCATGAAAGTCAACACATGAGAGTGCAGGATTTCTTGAATGTTCTGCTATGTTGTCAATGTTTGTCGTATCATTACTATGCATTCCTAGGCATTCCTAGTAGTGGCAGTTAGGGTGCCATTTCATGATAAATTTAATTTTTAGAAATAAATTAATTTTTAATTTAAATTTAGAATATTCTGGAAGAAAAGATTAGTGCAGAGTGCAATTTGTATCTTGAACTTCTAATTGTGAGTTGCCAGTTTATCATGAGATGGTAGCCTAATCCTCTACCTCTGGCAAAATCACTTTATATCTAATTATTCAATTAGTTTATATAGCTTGAAAATAATCTGGTGGAGTGTTTGGCAGCAATATACAAAGTTGAAAAAGTAGAAAATTACAACAAATTTAGAATACATTATTTTAAAGTGTAATTCATTATAAAATAAACTTTACAAACTTAGGAAAAATTGATTTAAATAGAAAGTGAGCAATTATTTTTTTATGACATTGTCATAATGCCAAGGCTGCAATTTTTAATCATATTTTTAATTTATTTAATTTAAAATTTGTGCTCTCCACCTCAAATTAGTAGTGGCTTGCCCCTGTACATCATACTTTTCCTTTAACAATACAGTTGTGCCAGTCATCTATGTAACACCTTTCAGGGAAAAATTTTTTAATTGAAATAACATGACTTTTGGTTTGCATCAAAAGTTCATATATAGTTAATTCAGCCTCCTGCTTCTAAGGTTTCCATATCTGGTCTTGTCTTTTGTCTACCTAACTCCATTCTCAAGATTATGGAAAGATGGATGGACAATGGACGATGGACAGATAAGAGTGGGAATTTATAGGTCTACAATTTTCTTCAAATTGCAGTCCGACAATAAACAACGTACAATTACAAAAATCACAACTTGAAAATGTAAAGGTTTAAGCATTATATACATTATTCAATATTTATTTTTACTTTTTAAAAAGTAAAAAAAAGTAAAAATAGTAAAAAGTAAAAATAAATATTGAATAATGTATATAATGCTCTGACTCTTAATGCATTTTTTTCTCGTTATGGAATTTTGTATAATATTTTTCATACTGTGGAAATGTTTTCTGCATTTTTATTGTTTTTTGCACTTACCTATTTTGGATGGTTTGTAGATTTCTAGTTGCTGAAAACTTTTTAATTCAGAGAGGCTGTGTCAAATCAGTTGCTTGTAAATCAGCTTGGATCTCCTGTTTTTATTTTGTTTAAATCTCTTAAATACTTTCTCACCATTTCCAATTAAGATGGACTTTGGTTGCAATGCCACATAAATGCAGATTTATCAGTATTATATATCTGAGATGATAAGTCATAATCCTTTGTTAACTTCTCAAACACTGAATTTTATTCTACAACAATATGATGGGCAGATTTGTTTTCCACAGATATTTAGTTTTTGAATACTGTTTCATTGTTTTAATCTTTGAAGCCAACCATCAGAAATAAAACATGTCTCAACAATGTTCATTTTTGCATAAAATTATTTTGCATTAAACTTTTTGTATAAGGTCGAATTTAATTCAGCAATTTTTGATTGTTCTTAACATACCCTTGCCTATGTATGTTCAGTAGATGCTTTGCTTTCAGCTACAAATGACAATGGCTTTTCATTGTTCTTTTTTATGTTATAGATTGTCAATGACTCAATGTTAAAATTTTTTTGTAATTTCCTGCTAACTTGCATTTAGTTTGTAGAAATGGTAAGAATTAAATGGTAAACAACTTACTGTTTTGTTAATAGCCAATTTGGAACCTAGAGTTAATAAAAATACTAGACTTAAGGATAGAATTATGATATTAAGGAAACTAGCTAGTGTTCTTTCCAAGAAATAACTTGGATATGAGTGTGTGTTTACTAAAGTGCATAAGGGTCAATCTGGTTTGTAAGCTTATACTTCAAAAAATAATCTAGGAAAGGCTATCTCTCTCCTTCTCAGCAATGTTAATTCAGGTGTGTTCATATATTATAACTAGGAAAGGCTATATTAACTTGGGGATGTAAAGGGCTAGAAAGTGTAGATACCATTCCACGAAGAGTGATGATCCTCCTTGTTTTTTATGAGACTATCACCTCATAACATATCTCTTTTAGTTATTCAATGATTTCTACTTTCTATATTATATTAAGTTCTACACATTTTTTCCTTATATCTTTGTTACTGTTTTCACTTACATTCTTTTACCTTTGCATGAACAAATTGTGTATTCCGTTTCATAATTTGTTCATTGTATTTTAAATTACTTTTATTTTGTAACTTCATTGATATCTATGTGGGAACAGGCTCAAATAGTTTACCTTCAGTTGAGAAATGTCCCTGTGAATTGTAGAAGCTTTTGTAGTAGCAACCACTAACAATCTTGTGAACTGGAAATTGCAGGGCTTGACTTTTCCAGAAAGAGGTTTGGATACAAATAATGTTTTGGGGTTCCAAAATAATTTTAACAATAAAAAAACCTGGAATATTTTTATTAAAAATAACAAATAAAATAAAATAAAAAATAAATGAAGTTTATTCCAGGAGACTCATTACTTTTGTAAAATTTATAGTTAATATTTCCAATATTACAGCTGAGTTTGTCTATCGTAAAAGCCTCTTTATTGAAATTTATTTTTTCCCCTGCATTTTCAGTCTAAATTCAATGTATTTTCCATGTTTATCTCAAATAATTTTTTCCCAAAAACCTCTGTATCTCAAATTATGGATTGAAGTGTCAATTACAGATTCAAAGCTTGGCAACTACAACTTGATAGCATAAATTGTAATTGAGAAACATCTCTTGCAATACAGTACATAGTTGCAATTAATGCTGTTTTTCTCTGATTGTATCGATATTGTCGTAAGCTGAAACTAGACAGTAACTAGAGACACACAAAATACCTTATGTACTTTTCCAGCAAATTACTCTTTAATCAAACTAATGTTTTTGGCTTTATTATCAGGTTTTTTGAAATGGGATTCAATTTGGAACAACATTTAAAAATTTTTAATTTTAGATTTTAAAAAAATATAAATGGGGTTATTAATTAAGTTACAAATAAAATAAAGTATAAATTTAAAAAATTGTGCTAAAATATACTAAATATAAAAAATATACTAAAAGTTGTGCAATTAAGAATAAAAGTAAATAAAACAAAATCATTTGAAGTGCTACAATGATTTTATGTTTTGCACTGTGTTACAATTTTTGCTGCCCTTCGTGTCTAAGGGGTTATCAAATAGCGATCTCCACACATTGATTTACAGTCTCTGCTGTTAATGCAATGTTCTCTTAATGTAGATTTAAATATTTCCAATATTTCTTCTTTTTGTTTGCATTTGTCATATACTAGTTTTATAAGTAGGCCCTGCTGAAATCTGACACCCTGGTTTGGCTGCATAGTGGGCAAGAGTGGTTTTTAAATTATTTTTGTGGATATCATATTTATGCTCATTGATTCTGCATGTTAATAATCTATTAGTTGAGCAGATGTATTTTAGATGTCTATCAAATCTAACATCATATGTAGGGATGGAGTACACCTCGGGCTTTATTTGGGTCAACATAATCCTAGACATTACTTAGTAATCTGTATACCGTTGACCCCATTTGTATGCTATATGAGCTCCTGTATAATTAGTGTGAGATTATATATCTCCTATAAAAAAGGTTACGAGATGAAGATCTCGTAGATCTTCATCTACACCGCTTACGGGCTCCGATCGCGAGATCGGCTCTCGTAACCTTTTTTATAGGAGGGCGAGAAAAATGTTTAAAAACAATCTAGAGGGTGAATTCTAGATCTTGTCAGGTCCCGACACCAGTTTGTCAATTATTCAATCCGCAGACAAACACGCGTGTGATTACTTTATAGATCTGATTCAGAGACTCTAAAAGAGACATTCTTTAACAAATAAACAAGAATAAATTTAATTAAACATAAACCAATAAAAATAGTACAAATATATGGTAGTAAGAGACAATGACTACAAATGACAATCTATATGTCGAGAGAGATATGGACTTATACTTAACTGATATGCGATCGAGAGAGAGAGCTTACAAAATCGTTATTAAACATACAACCTGGTTTAGTTGTCTTTTGTCTTCTTCATCGGTTGGCAAAGGCACTTCGTTTATATAGTTCTCAAACTTCATTCCATGAGAGATCGATATGTGCACAACATTAAAGTATATCTTCTAAGTGCTAACTCTGGATTTATTCTATGTGACTCGTCTAAGGGCGTTGGCCATCAGGAGAAATATGTATGGAGTCCTGCCTCTTCCAGGTCTGTTGATGAACTCCCCGAATTCTGATAAATTTCCCCTATATCTGTCAATCGGCGACCAATCATCATACAAAGATTCCTCTGTGGGAACGGACGGAAAGGAGAATATTTGAGGGGTAAGCATTTCCCATCAAAGCGAGATTTTTCGCAGATAAAGGGAAAACAGAGGATGTTGTAACTTCCCTAGAAGGAAGTAGCATCTGTTATCTATTTTTACCACTCTAAAACGATATTTTTCTCACCCAAAACAAAAGAATATTTTATAACAATATTTTACATTATTAAATAATTATTAATTTTAGACCCAGGGGCTATTCAGATCTCACATTAGCAATTAATGTATAGAGGAAAACATGGTATTATGGAACACTGTGGATATTATGGAACCACTCCATTTCAAACTGATAATAAAGGCTAACTGTAGCGGATTGTGTCTGAACTGTACTAGGCAGACATCCATAGCAAGGGGAAAACCCGCTTCACTTCAGTTAAATGGTTGTCCGTAGTGAATCAGCAAATTTGTGTTTTTCAAAATTTTAAAGTT